AATTATATTTTTAAGAAAAGTATTTATAAGTAGAAGGAGACAAAGACCTAAGAATGGTGTTAATGGCACCATTTACTGAATTCTTTCCCCATTGATTTATCTGTTACGGATGTTATATTTCACATATATAGGTCTGGTACTGAGCCATCCATTATGTTCCATTACCCTACTTGTCTATTTATCTGCCAATATTATGCTACATTAATAGTAATTAGCTTTATAGTAAATTGGATTCTGATAAGGCAAATTCATTCACACTGTTCTTCAATCTTTTCTTGGCTATTATTAGCCCTTTGACCTTTCAAATATACTTTAGGATAAGCTTATCAAGTCCTAGAAAATACCACTATTAGTATTTTTATTGAAATTACACTAAAGTGATTAGTTCAGGAAAAACTGTTATTGTTATTATAGTGAATCTACTAGTCCATGAACAATGGTACCTATATCTCACTATGTATTTATGCCTTCTATATTATATACTTCAATGTATGTTTCTATATTGTATTTTAATATACTTTTCACTTCAATATTCTTTTCTGTATTTTGAAGGGATTAATGCTAGGTACCTTGTGATCTGACTGCTGTTTGTCAGATTCTTTTTGCCCATCTTCTTCCATTTTCTGACTGGCTATTATTGTTGTGTAAGAATGATATTAATTTTCATATGTTGATTTTGTATTTAACAGCCTTGCTAAACATTTTTACTAATTTAAGGAGTTTGCTGCTTCTCTTTAATTTTATCTGCAGACAACCTGTCAGGTACAGATAAGGAAAGTTTGATGCTTCCCCTCCAGTCTTTTCACTACTTTTATTTTTCATATCTTCTTGCACTGCCAAGGACCTCCAGTATAATTTTAAATTTAAAAAAAGATGTTCAGATATGGCAGAGAAATTGAAATTATCAGACCAGAAATTTGAAACAACTATGATTAATATAGTAAGGGTACTAATGAATAAAGTAGACAGCATGCAAGGATAGATGGACAACATAAACAAAGACGTGAACATTCTAAGGAAGAGACGAAAATAAATGCTATATAAATAAAAAACACTATAGCAAAAATGAAGAAAAAATGTCTTTGATGGGCCTATTAATAGGTTTGATATGGCTCAGGAAAGAATCTCTGAACTTGAGGATATCTCAATAGAAGCCTCCCAAACTGAAAAGCAAGGAGAATAAAGACTGAAAAAAGCAGAACAGAATATCCAAAAACTGTGGGACAACCGCAGGAGGTGTAATATGGGCATAATAGGAATATCAGCAGAAAAAGAAAGAGAGAAAGAAGCAGAAGAAATTTTTTGAAACAATAATGAAATTTCTCCAACTTAATGTCACACCAAACCACAGACCCAGGAAGCTCAGAGAATACAAAATGGGGTAAGTGCCCCCTGCAAGCTACACATGGGCATATCATATTCAAACTACAGAAAATAAAGAAGCTCTCCTCCTGCCACCCAAGATGCGGAAAGGAAAGAAGTCCAAGGGGAAGAAGGTGGCTCTGGCCCCCATGGTCATGAAGAAGCAGGAGGCCAAGAAAGGGGTGAGTCCCCTGTTTGAGAAAAGGCCTAAGAATTTTGGCATTAGACAGGACATCCAGCCCAAAAGAGACCTCACCTGCTTTGTGAAATGGCCCCGCTATATCAGGTTGCAGCAGCACAGAGCCATCCTTTATAAGCAGCTGAAAGTGCCTCCTGCAATTAACCAGTTCACCCAGGCCCTGGACTGCCAAACAGCTACTCAGCTACTTAAGCTGGCCCACAAGTACAGACCAGAGACAAAGCAAGAGAAGAAGCAGAGGCTGTTGGCCTGGGCAGAGAAGAAAGCTGATGGCAAAGGGGACGTCCCCACTAAGAGACCACCTGTCTTGGTGGAGAACAAGAAAGCTCAGCTTACTGCATTATCAAGGGGAAGGCAAGACTGGGGCATCTAGCCCACAGGAAGACCTGCACCACTGTTGCCTTTACACAAGTTAAGTCAGAAGACAAAGGTGCTTTGGCTAAGCTGGGGGAAGCTATCAGGACCGATTACAATGACAGGTATGATGAGATCCGCTGTCACTGGGGAGGCAACGTCCTGGGTCCCAAGTCTGTGGCTTGCATCACCGAGCTTGAAAAGGCAAAGGCTAAAGAATTTGCCACTAAACTGGGTTAAATGTACACTGTTGAGTTTTCTGTACATAAAAATAATTAAAACAATACAAATTTTCCTTCAGCCAAAAAAAAAAAAAGATAAAAAATTCTAAAAGCAACTAGAGAAAAAAAATCTAACCTATAGAGGAGCAAAAATCATAATTACATCTGATTTCTCCTCAGAAAACGTGCAAGTAAGACAAGAGTGGAGTGCAACATTTACATTATTGAGATGAAAAAACTCTGCCAACCTAGAATCCTAAACCCTGAGAAATTATCCTTCAAAAGTGAAAGATAAATAATTACTTTCTTAGACTAACAAATATTGAGGGAAATGTCACCAGTAGACATTCCTTGAAAGAAATATTAAAAGAAGTTAGAGAGAAGGAAAATGATATAGGTCAGAAACTCAGATCTATATTAAAAAGGAAGAATATCGGAGAAGAAGCAGGTTGAGGTAAAAGAAAACCTTTTATTTGTCTTAATCTTATCTTGATTAATCTAATCTTAATGGATAGTTTGAAATAACAGCAACAGTGTATTATATATATATGCTTATGTATAAGTGAAGTGAATGACAGCAATGATACAAGGGATGGGAAGGAAGAATAAGGATTATTTTGTTATAAAATACTTGCATAACCATGAAGTAATTTGGTGTTATTCAAAAGTGGAACTGGATTAGTTGTAAATGAATGCTGTAAAATCTAAGGCAATCACTAAAAAAAGTAGACAAGGAAGTACAACTTAAATGTTTTAAAAGGAGAGAAAATTGAATCATGTAAAATGCTCAAAACCTAAAAAGGCTGCAAAATTATGGAAGTCAAAAATAAAAAAGAAAGAGCAAGGGCAGCAAATAGAATCAGTAGCAAGTATGAGAGATGTCAATCTAACTATATCAGTAAACACTTTGAACATCAACTACTTAAATGCATTAATTAAAAGTCAGATTGTCAGAGAAGATTAAAAAATCCCAAATTAACTATACATTGTCTATAAGAAACCCACCTTAAATCTAAAGACACATATAGGTTAAAAGTAAACAAATGGATAAAGATACACCATGCTAACACTAATAAAAAGAAAGTAAAATTAGCTACATTAATTTCAGACACAGAATATTTCACAGTGAGGAAAGTTATCAGGGATAAAGAGAGGTATTACATAATGATAAAGGGATCAGTTCTCTAAAACTAATAACAATCTGTAATGTGTATGCACCTAACAACAGAGCACCAAAATACATAAGAAAATAATTAATAGAACTACAAGGAGAAACACAGGAATCTACTATTATATTTGGAGATATCAATATACTCCTATCAGAAATGGGCAGATTCAGCAGACAGAAAATTAGTAAGGTCAAAAGTGAACTTAACAACAACATCAACCTACTGAATCTAATTGATACTTATATAATACTTCATCCAACAAGAGCAGAATATACATCATTTTCAAATTCATATAGAGCATTCACCAAAATGGACCACATTCTAAGTCGTAAAACACAGATTTTAAAAATACACATCATATAATGTCTGCTCTCAGACCACAATAGAATTAAACCAGAAATTAATAACAGAAAGATAGCTAGAATATCCCCAAATACTTAGAGATTAAACAACACACTTCTAAATAACACATGGATCAAAGAAGAATTCTCAAGAGAAATTTTAAAATATTTTGAAATAAATAAAAATGAAAACACACCTTATCCAAAAGCTGTGGAACATAGAGAAAGCAGTGCACAGAGAGAAATTTATAGCATTGAATGCATATAGAAGAAAAGAAGAAAAATTTAAAATCAATAATGGAAAATCAATAATCTTTGCCTTAGGAAACTAAAGAAAAGAAGAGCAAATTAACTTTAAAGTAAGTAGAAGAAAAGAAATAATAAGAATTCGAGAATACATCAATAAAACTGAAAATAGAAAACCAATTTTAAAAATCAATGAAACTAAAAGTGTTTTATTTAAAAATATCAATAAAATTGATAAGTCTCTAGCGAGGTTAACTAAGAAAAAAAGAGAAGATACAAGTTTCTAATATTAGAAATGAAAGAGGGGATATCACTATAGCTCCAATGCACATCAAAAGGATAATAAAAGAATACTTTGAACAATTCTATGGCCACAAATTTGATAACTAAGATGAAATAGAACAATTCTTTGAAAGAAACAATCTGTCAAAACTTACACAAGAAGAAATATGCAATATGAATATGCCTATTGTCTATCAAATAAATTGAATAAATACTTAATTATCTTTCAAAATGGAAATCATTGGGCCCAGATGAGTTCACAACTACATTTTACCAAACATTAAAAAAGAAATAATATCAATTCTATATAATCTCTTTCAGCAGACAGAAGTAAAAAGAATTTTTCCTAATTCATTCTGTGAGGCCAGCATTACCTTAATACCAAAAGACAAAGACTTTATAAGAAAAGAAAACCACAGACTAACATATCTCTTGAACATAGCTGCAAAAGTCCTCAAGAAAATGTTAGCAAATCAAGTCTAACAATGTACAATAAGAATTATACACCATGACTAAGTGAGATTTATTCCAGGTATGAGAGTTTGGTTCAACATTGAAAAATCAATTAATTTAATGCATTAAATCAACAAACTAAAGAAGGAAAAACACATGATCACATAAATAGATGCAGAAAAGCATTTAACAAAGTCCAACATCCATTCATGATTAGGCACTGTCAATAAACTAGGAATGGAGAGGATCTTCCTCAACTTGATAAAGAATATCTACAAAAACTAACAGCTAATACACATAATGGACACAAGGAGGGGAACATCATACACTGGGGTCTGTAAGGGGGTGGGAGGCAAGGGGAGGGACAGCATTAGGACAAATACCTAATGCATGCAGGGATTAAAACCTAGATGACGCGTTGATAGGTGCAGCAAACCACCATGGTGCATGTATACCTATGTAACAAGCCTGTACGTTCTGCACATGTATCCCAGAACTTAAAATAAAATTAAAAAAAAGAAAAGAAAAATTATAATAGTTAAAAAAAAGCAGTGTACATTAAGAAACATTAGAAAATAGCATGACATATGCAACTTAATAATTGATATGTTCCACTCAATATTGTGCAATTTAAAAAAGAAATTATTTCACCTGAATTTCTAAATGTATTACTTATATTCTCTTTATCTTTTAATTTTAGAAAACTCCTTATTTGCAATGTTATATCTCATTGTTTACTTGTGTGCTTTCCATGTGATTTCCTTTTTTGTTCAGTATTACTAGACATATGTTCAATTGATAGATTTTGTAACAGTTTGTATTTTTGTTGACCCTATGTCGTTTTCCACTTTATTTTACAGCTCTTGCCCCCTTTATCCCAACTTATTTACAATGTTAGTTCTTTTATTTTTATTTAGTATTTGTCTTTATAAAAGTTTGTGTGTGTGTGTGTATGTGTGTATGCATATATTTGGAAAAGTCACAGAGTTGTGCGAATAGATCGTTTCATAACAAATAACACTCTCCTGCCACACCGTCCCCATTCCTGCTCCCCAGAGCCAACCAGGTTCATTCTTTTAGCTATTTCTTATGATTCACGTGTCTTAAAAACACGGCTTATATTGCTACTTCTTGCTTGTAAAGTTTTAAACATTATCCATTGATTTCCCAATACAGATTATTGGTATCTGGGTTTAATTATCTCTCACTATTACTCAATCCCCACTATATTCCCTTATGCCCTATATTCCCTGTGTCCTGTCCTTCCAGAACAGTTATATGGTTTCTTTGCTTAAATCATAATCATTTAACCATAATTGAGTCATTATTGGGACTACATAAATGCTATTTATCTTGGAATATTTTTTCCTGCATGATCTTTTGTTTTCTTTTAGTTTTGTTTGCAAATGCTTCCCCCTAAAATTATGCTCCATTGTGTAAATAGCTTCATAATAGATTAATATAATATTGGAATCTATTTTTTTTTCCATCTTCTTGAAGAAATATCTTCTGGAAACTAATGATTGCTCTCTCCCTGAGCTGCAGTTGTCTTTCTGAGATTTCACATCACCAGCGATGGTGGAATTTCCTTCCCTCTTTCTTATATCAGCCCCCATTACTTGATTCCCATGTTTTTCTCTTTCTTAGTTTACTCCCTCACTTTCTGGGAGGCAAAAATGGTTGAGATCTTGCACATTAGAAAAAATTGTCTTTATGCTACTCTCACACTTCTTTGATAGTTTAGCTGGTTATTAAATCCTTGGTTGTAATTATTTTCTAAGAATGATGCTGCTCTGTTGGTTTTTGGCTTTCATTGTTGCTGGTTAGAACTCCAACGCTATTCTGACTCTTTCACATTCCTGTTAAACCTTTTCCTTTTCTCCTCTTTGGAAGCTGCAGGATCTCCAGTGCTCTAAAATTTTATGAAGACATGCCTAGGTTTGAGCCCTTCAATTGGTTGATCCATTTAGTTGTGAAACAGGTCTTTCAGATATGGGAAACGTTCTTTTTTTTTTTTTTTTGAGACGGAGTTTCGCTCTTGTTACCCAGGCTGGAGTGCAAATGGCGCGATCTCGGCTCACCGCAACCTCTGCCTCCTGGGTTCAGGCAATTCTCCTGCCTCAGCCTCCTGAGTAGCTGGGATTACAGGCACGTGCCACCAGGCCCAGCTGATTTTTTGTAGTTTTAGTAGAGACGGGGTTTCACCATGTTGACCAGGATGGTCTCGATCTCTTGACTTCGTGATCCACACGCCTCGGCCTCCCAAAGTGCTGGGATTACAGGCGTGAGCCACCGCGCCCGGCCTGGGAAACATTCTTAAGTCATTTCATCCATGACTTCTTCACTATTTTCTTTGTTCTCTGTATCTCTTTGTCTTTCCTTATGAATTCCTATTATTTAGATGTGAGACCTCAACATGTTGCTTATCTTTTATCTCCCATTTTCATAAATCTGTTTTTTTACTATTTTCTGGGAGATATTTTTCAAAATTACACTCCATTTTATTGAAAAATTTCCATGTTTTTATTTCTTTGTTCTTCTTATTTCCTGATTGTGATTTTTTGTAGTTTCCTGTTCCTGTTTCAAGGAAGATATATTTTTCAAGTTTTGTAACCCCATAAAGTCTCTATTTCTTCCATACTAACTGGACATCTGTTATTCTTTTTCTAGTTTCTGGAAGAGAACACAACTTTTAAATTTTCAATAAAAGTCTTTATTTTCAACCTTTTTTATTTTAAAATAAGTACATTTTAGACTATACATTTCTCTCTACACACTGCTGTAGCTGCATATTGCAAGTTTTGAAATGTAGTATTTTTATTGTCATTCAGGTCTAAATTTCTATTTTGCAATTTTCGTTGTTTCTTATTAACCATGAGTTAGTTCCAAGAACATTTTAAAGTTTACGAACATTGTGTTTTTTTTTTGTTTGTTTGTTTTTTTTTTTTGAGATGGAGTTTCGCTCTTGTTACCCAGGCTGGAGTGCAATGGCGCGATCTCGGCTCACCGCAACCTCCGCCTCCTGGGTTCAGGCAATTCTCCTGCCTCAGCCTCCTGAGTAGCTGGGATTACAGGCACACGCCACCATGCCCAGCTGAATTTTTGTATTTTTTTTAGTAGAGACGGGGTTTCACCATGTTGACCAGGATGGTCTCGATCTCTTGACCTCATGATCCACCCGCCTCGGCCTCCCAAAGTGCTGGGATTACAGGCTTGAGCCACCGCGCCCGGCCCGAACATTGTGTTTTTAACCACCTTTTTCTGGTGCTTGATTTCTAATTCAATTTTATTGTGATCAAGGAAGAACATGGTCAGTATGATACCAGATCTTTTACACCTTTCAAAAACTTTAAGTCCTATTAAGTGACTAGTTTTTATAAATATTCCATCTATATTTGGAAATAATGTATATGTCATATTTATTAAATGCTAATTAATTTTGTTGTTCCTTTGAAGAACAAAATTCCTTCTTGGAAAAGAAAAAATCCTGTTTTTCCTTTCTGCTCTTGTCTTTCACACTCAACACATAGCACACAGACACCAGATTCTCAAAGGGGCACCAGCTGTGTGTCCTCCAATTCAATTCTGAAACTATGGTCAGATTTCGTAGGTTGAGGGCTCAGTCCCACAAGACTATTCCCCACTTCAGATGATAGACACAAGCCCTAGGTTGTGATCTGTAGTTTTGACCTATCAGCAGTAAATTGGGGTTCCCATGACTCTCTCCTTGGATCCTATTAATTTGCTAGAGAGTTGCACAGAACTCAGGGAAATACTTTACTTATGTTTACCAGTTTATTATAAAGGATATTAAAAAGGATACAGATAAACAGCCAGATGGAAGAGATGCACAGGCAACCATGTGGGAAGGGGAACAGAGTTTTCACCCTCTTTCTGAGCATGCCACACTCCAGGGACCTCCATGTGTTCAGATATCTAGAAGGTCTCTGAACCAGCTTCATTGTGTAAGTATGATTGAATAAATCATTGGCCATTGGTGATCACCTCAATCTTCAGCTCCTCTTCTCTCCCCAAAGGTTGGGAGGTGGGGCTAAATATTACAACCCTCTAATAATATGTTGGTATTTCCAGTGACTATCCTCCTTCCTGAAGATATTTAGGGGCCCCGGCCACCAGTCATCTCATTAATACACAAAAGATTCTCATCAGTTTAGACAACCCAAGGGTTTTGGTAGCTATATGTAAGGAAATGGGGACAAAGACCAAATACATATTTTGTAATATCACAGATTCTACACCCTCAATAATTTTTTATCTTCTTGATCTATCAATTTATAGTAGAGATGTTTTTAAATCTCCCATTATGATTGTGGATTTTTGTTGTATATCCCTTGAGGCAAACATTGTCAGTTACATATAAGTTGAAAACAAATATCTTTCTGGTAGAATTTTCATTTCATTATATGATTGCCAGTTATCTGTCTTTATTACAGTTAATGCTTTTGGCTTCCAATTTTAATCTGACAACTTTTTATTATTAGTATTTGCATGGGTTTTTTTATTTTTAATTTTTGTGAATACATAACAGGTGTGTATATTTATGGGGCATATGAGATGCCTTGATAAAGTATGTAACACATAAAAATCACATCATGGAAGATGGGGTATCCATCCCAGCAAGCATTTATCCTTTGTTTTACAATCCAATTATACTCTTTTAGTTATTTTCAAATGTACATTTGAAAATTATTATTAACTTAATAATAAAATTATTATTAAATTATTATTAACTATAGACACTGTTGTGTTATCAAATATTAGGCCTTATTTATTCATTTTAAATGTATCTGTACCCATTAACTATCCCCACTTCCTGCTCGACAACCCACAACCCTTTCCAGCCTCTGGTAAACATCTTTTTACTCTCTCTCTTTTTAAAAAATAAAATTTAGTTTTGATTTTTAGTTCAGGGGTACATGTCCAGGTTTGTTACATAGGTAAACTTGTGTCATGAGGATTTGTTGTACAGATTAATTCATAACCCAGGTATTAAGTCTAGTATCCATTAGTTATTGTTCCCGATACTCTTCATCCTCCCATCCTCCACCCTCCAATAGGCCCTAGTGCATGTTGTTTTCCTCTATGTGTTCTCATCATTTATCTCCCACTTATACGTGAGAACATGTGGTATTTGGTTTCCTGTTCCTGCATTGGTTTGCTAAGGATAATGGCCTCCAGTTCCATCCATGTCCCTGCAAAGATATAATCTCATACTTTTTTATGGCTGCATAGTATTCCATGGTGTTTATGTACCACATTTTTTTTTATCCAGTCTATCATTCATGGGCATTTAGGTGGATTCCATGTCATGTGTTTGCTATTGTGAATAGTGCTGCATTGAATATTCATGTGCACACGTCTTTGTAATAGAATGGTTTATATTCCTTTCCATATATACCCAGTA